TCAATTGTCATTATGTGACAAAAAAAAAGTAAATATTGATGTAATTTTGCATACCAACGCAATTTTATTGAGTTTTTTTATCCCATACAGCCGCCAGTAGTCGGTCGTTGTTCATATGTGTCACTATCTGTCTGTTTGTGTTTGTCTTACAAAATGAAGCATAAATTTCAAGATTTTATTAACACGTTATACAATTTATTCGTACTTTATTATCAGAGGGAAGTTTCTGATTTGGTCATATTATTTTTATTGATTTTAATAATGAAGTTATTTATATAAAGATATATAGAGAAGACATTGATGATTTTGGGTTGTCACGAACAATAATCATTGAGATATTTGTAAGATTATCAGGTAACACACAATGTTAATTGCAACAGAATGGTTGGTGGAGTGAATTTAGCAAAATAAAATTGAGGTTAACAAAATATTAGAGAAATAGGATCTCTTTAAAATATCTTAAAGTTGTGCAGATTTACATTTAAAATAAAGTTTTAGAACTTAAACTCTTTAATTAAAAAAAGCTTAGGCGCTGAAAATCGCTAAATAGAAAATTGCTGCTTCTGATCTCATAGAATTTCCGCTCTATTCTAAAGCTTTCAGTTTAAGGCACTAGAATTGAACTTAACTTAACTAGAACTGAACTAAACTAGAACTGAACCAGAACTGAACTAGAACTGAACTAGAACTGAACTAGAACTGAACTAGAACTGAACTAGAACTGAACTAGAACTGAACTAGAACTGAACCAGAACTGAACTAGAACTGAACTAGAACTGAACTAGAACTGAACTAGAACTGAACTAGAACTGAACTAGAACTGAACTAGAACTGAACTAGAACTGAACTAGAACTGAACTAGAACTGAACTAGAACTGAACTAGAACTGAACTAGAACTGAACTAGAACTGAACTAGAACTGAACTAGAACTGAACTAGAACTGAACTAGAACTGAACTAGAACTGAACTAGAACTGAACTAGAACTGAACTAGAACTGAACTAGAACTGAACTAGAACTGAACTAGAACTGAACTAGAACTGAACTAGAACTGAACTAGAACTGAACTAGAACTGAACTAGAACTGAACTAGAACTGAACTAGAACTGAACTAGAACTGAACTAGAACTGAACTAGAAACTGAACTAGAACTAGAACTAGAACTGAACTAGAACTGAATAACTGAATAGAACTGAACTAGAACTGAACTAGAACTGAACTAGAACTGAACTAGAACTGAACTAGAACTGAACTAGAACTGAACTAGAACTGAACTAGAACTGACTAGAACTGAACTAGAACTGAACTAGACTGACTAGAACTGAACTAGAACTGAACTAGAACTGAACTAGAACTGAACTAGAACTGAACTAGAACTGAACTAGAACTGAACTAGAACTGAACTAGAACTGAACTAGAACTGAACTAGAACTGAACTAGAACTGAACTAGAACTGAACTAGCAACTGAACTAGAACTGAACTAGAAACTGAAATAGAACTGAACTAGAACTGAACTACTGAACTAGAACTGAACTGAACTGAACTAGAACTGAACTAGAACTGAACTAGAACTGAACTAGAACTGAACTAGAACTGAACTAGAACTGAACTAGAACTGAACTAGATCTGAAGTAGAAGCACTAAGGTGTAATTTAGCTCTGAAAATATAAACTTATTTGATATTTTGAAACTTAAAGCTCATATGTATTCGACAGACTTTATTCCTTCTATCAATTTTCCCATCTGTCAAATTCATTTCAAAATTCTCAGTTATTTAAAGCAAAAGAAAAATCAATTACTAACATGCAACAAAACACACACGTGTTAGAAGCTTTAATCCACCCAAACCAACATGTCTTTATATTACAAGAAAAACATATTTAATTAATTTGCCCCACATCATTCAACCCCGATGTTTTGCCACAATAAATGTTTACATGATTTATGAAGAAATAATTACTTCCACATACATGAAAATCTAAGATAAATAATAATGTAATCCACTCATCTAACCAGTCATCCATTTAAATACACTAAACATTATTTTAATAAACTGTCTATAAAACTCTACTATAAACACATTGAAAATAGCATTCAACCTCATCTCTCATATCTCCTCTGGGTGATCATTCAATTTTTATTAAAATTAATTTGTATAAACAATTTATTAAAAACAAATTTTTCATTTTTCTTTTTTGTCGTTTTTTTCTACAACTCATTGCAGATTTTACGTTCACACGTCATGGTGCGTGTTGGCGGTGGCTGGGATACACTCTCTCACTATTTGGATAAACATGATCCTTGTCGTTGCAAGGCCCAACATCGTTCTTCGGTGGCTGCACGTTTAATACCGCGAGCCAATCAACAAACAAATGGTATCGAACTACACAAGGCACAGGTGATATTTGAAAGGTAAGTTTTGAATGCGATGATGATGCAGCACAATCATGCAACATATACTCTCGTACAGCATGTAACCGACAACACTTTAAGTTCATACGTAGTAAAAGCATACTTACATGAAGGCAAAACATACAATCTTTAGATAAATAATAATAATAACAACGAAACTAGAAATTTAAAGCAGGAAGGGGAAATATAAGGGACACACTTTCATCAGATTCTCGATAAATGATATCAAAATTATAAAAGACTTTCATTAAGAAGTTATTAAATACAACACATTTATAATAAGAATCTGAAGTCAACAGATATGTTGGTTTTTAATCAATTAGAAACTTATGAAACAGAACATCAAAAAAATCTGAAATCAGGCAGAAACCAAAATGGATTTTGAAAAGAATTTTAACAAATAAAAGCTTTTTCAATTGTAAAGGATTTTTTGTAAAATTCTAATAAAGTAAAATGTCTAATAAAGTTTTTAAAAAAGCTTTTAAACTAAATATAAATTATAACAGTTTAAGTCAGAGCTTTCTTGTTTAAGCAACATTCTATAAATGTTGTTTAAACTAAGCTTTTTAGTGTTAAGTTCTGATTAAAGCTTATAAAAAGAAACAAACTTTTCAAACTTTTTAAAATAAATCAATTAATATAAAAGTTTTATAGAAGTATGTAACATGGCCTTTTAATATTTTAGAATTGAAGCTTTAATAAAGGCATTCATAAAAACTTTTTGAAAAGCTTTTAATTGAGAAAAGCCTAAATTAAAGCTTTTTGAAAAATTTTATCATTGATTGAAGCTTTTTGGAAAACTTGTATAACAATTTTGTAAAAAGTTTTCACTTAAGCTTTTTGAAAAGAGTGTTAAATTTTTATGAAAAAGCTGTCGTTAAAGATTCTTTTTTAAAAAGGTTTTTCTTTTTCTAACAGTTTTCATTAATTTTTTGGAAATTCTCTTATTAAAGCTTTTCGAAAACCTTCTATTAAAGCTATTTGAAAACCTTTAACAAAAGCTTTTAATAAAGCTTTTTAAAAAACATTTCTTAATAGCTTTAATTTAAGATTTTTCAAATGCTTTTGAAGAGATTTTACAAAAGCTCAAATTGAAGATCTTTGAAAAAATTAAATTTAAGATTTTTTGAAAAACTTTAATTACAGTTAGAATCTTTTAAAAATATTTAACAAAAGCTTTTTATAAAGCTTTTATTCAAAAAAATTCTGACGATTTTAATAAAGCTTTTTTAAAATCCTTTCTATATATCTTTAATTGAAGATTTTTCAAAAGCTTTAAATGCAGATTTTTGAAAAAGTCATTTAATTCTTTAAAATATTTAATTTCTGATTTTTGAAAAGCTTTCATTGAAGTTCTTTTTATAATTTTTGAAATATTGAAAAAAACTTTTTGGAAAACTTGAATTCAAACTTTTAAATAATACTTAACAAAAAACTTATCATATAGCTTTAAATAAAGCATTGATAAAACATTTCATTTGAGGTTTTTTGAATAGTTTTTTATTGGAGCTTTTAAAAAGCTTTCATTTAAGAATTTCCTAAAGCTTTTTAAAAGCTTTCATTTAAGAACTTGCTAAAGCTTTTTAAAAAAAACTTTCATTTTTATTAAAAAATTTAAAAAGCTTTCATTTAAGAATTTGCTAAAGCTTTTTAAAAGCTTTCATTTAAGAATTTGCTAAAGCTTTTTAAAAAACTTTCATTAAAGCTAGAAAAGTTTTCATAAAATCTCTTATTAAAGCTTTTATGTTAAGCTTTCATTAAAGCTTTTTTGAAAGGTTTTGAAAAGCTTTTGTAAAAACTTTCATTTAAGCTTTTTGTATAACATGGATATAACTCGTTTTTAAATCTTTTCCTTTAAAAACCATAAAAAAAGCTTTTTTCATATAACTTTTATTAAAGCTTTTGAAAAATCTTGTAAAACAAATTGTTAAAAGCTTTTCTTAGAATATTTTTTTCTTCTGCCTTAAAAATGTTTACATTTCCGTGCCAACCTAACTATAAAATGTTGCTCCCCCCAGCATTAAGTTGCCAACAACTTGCAACATATGTAAAAATCATTGTAGCGCACACACACACACACATTAACCGACAACTTTGCGCTGGCATCCATATACCAATGATTACGCGAAAGAGTATGTTAAATTTTCTAGTAGTTAAATGAATATGACAAATGGGTTGGTTAAATCGGCACTATCATATAATGAACATTATTATTTATCAACAACGACAACTTGCAACAACATCATCATCTTCATCAACAAAATAGTATTGCTTGCTGCGTTGCGGCTGCTATAGCAAACGTTAAATATCATGATTTAAATTAAAAAGTGATTAATTTTATTACAATCTATATATAAATTTTCTTTACTGCTGTGATCTACGATCTTTTTTTGTAAAAGTCAGTCGGAACTTTTCATTTAATAAAATTATAAGGGGAGTGGTTGTCGATTGAGTTGTGTCTATGGAATATTAATAGAAAATTAATTTGTTTTAAATAAATAGACGACAGTTACGAGAGTAAATAAATAAAATAAAGTGTTATTTGTTTTTTTTTTAAGTTTTAATTAAATTATGTTGACAAATTAGTGTTTTTTTTTTAATTTATATAGTTTTTATCATGCTTGCATGATGGAAAGAACAAAGCAAAGTGGTCCAAATGAAAGCTTTTATTTTAGAAAAGCTTAAGAATAACAAAAAGCTAAACTGTGGCAATTGTATAACGTGAATCATTAAACACTTTGATTTCCTTCTTTATACTCTCATTGCCCCACTGTTAATAGTAAATTAAATTTGTAATATAATCTTGATTGTATAAGCTCGACGAAAATAACAAAAGCCAGATGCAAATTTAAATTTGACAGGCTGTAATTAGTTGTAAGGTGACAAGACGTCAACCTGTATGGCGTTGTCACTGTCTCCGTTGATAAAATGTAACGTAAATTTTAATTTTTATTTTTCAAATCAAAATGCAATGAAATGCATTTTGTTTTAAAACGTTGTAACGCTTTATTGCTAACTTAAAGGCCTGTCAATGTTAAAATGCTTGAAATATGGGAAAAACATGCAAAATATTTATAAACTTAAATGACATTTTAACGGATATATTTCAATAAATTTAAACGCCATTAAGTTATAGAGAAAAATTTATTAGATTTTTCATTCCCTACAAATGCTAAAACATATTAACATTTAAAAAGCATAAAAATTAATTAGAATTTAAAAATGTTGTAGCTTTAAATGACTTGACATTTTGTAGCTTTTTTAACGCAAGGGGTTAATTTGCAAGCTGTGGCAGTGAAATGTTACTAATGCGATTAACAGAGCAGACTGACACAAAGGAAAACTAAATTTTTAACACTTGAATTAATCTATGGCAATTAAAATACTTTATGTATAAAATGTCTATCTCATTCCAGATCACCTCCCACTACACGCAAAATGATTTCAAACATCAATTCAAACACTACCAACGCAAATACCTCATTAGCTACGGCTACGCAACACTCTTCGTCTACCACATCACTACTATCGCCCGGCTATGGAGGTCTCAATAAAAATCGCAGTCCTAGTCCCACAACCGCACAACGTCGTTACAATAACAATCATCAATCGGATCACAATTTGAATATGGATAAATTACATCCTACAAACAACTCTCTGACTTCGCCCAATTTGGCCAGACGTTCAATGTCACCTAGTCCTAGACGTTTGATTGATATGCGTAAGAAACAATCATCTTTGGAATCTTATGGAAATAGTGGTCCCAAGTCTTTGCCCATAACGGCTGAAATTGTTAATGGTGTTGGTGGTGATTATGGTGATCATGGTCAGAATACGGATGCAAGTGGTAATAATAAGTTTGAGAATATCAGTGATAATGGCAGTGAAATCAGTGATGAGGGTTATCGCAGTTTGGGCGTTATACAATCGAATGCCCAGAAGCGCGAATCCCTACACAGTCAGGCTTCAACCGATGACGCTGAAAATAATGGTGAGTTATAAAGGCTAAAAGGAGCTGTCTTCTGAAAACCTTTTTTACATTTTTGTGCTTTTTGTAATGCTTTTCTCTAAAAAGCTCTTCAGAAAGCTTTTTCGAAACACTTTTGTCATCTAAAGCTATTTTTTATTTTGTTAAAAACTCTTAAATCTATAGAAAACTTTAAAAGATTTAAGAGTTTTGAAAGCTCTTGAAATAGGAATAAAAATCTTAAAAAGCTTTTTTTTGTTTTCACTTTTCTTCCTTTATTATATTTCCCTGTGATAAAAGCTTTCATTAGCTTTCAAAACTTGAAAAAATTACAAAATTTTTGGTAGAAAGCTTTAAAGTTCAGCTTTCTCTAGGGAGCCCTAAAAAGCTTTTGCTGTAAAAAAATAGAATAACATTTAAAAAACCTTTTTTGAAAAGAAAACATTGTTTAAATTTTTTTTAAGATCTCAAAAGAGCTTTTTCAAACAGCTATGTTTTATTTTATTAAAAAAGTCTTAAAGCTTAACGAAAATATTAAAGCTTACATTATGTTATTCTGTAGCGAAAGCTTTCACTAACAAAAGCTTGAGAACATAAAAACTTTAGAAAAAAGCTTTGTAATACAGCTTTAAATACAAAATATAAAAAAGCTTTAAAAAGCTGAAAAAAAACTGATAAATAACAGGAGAGTTTAACAAAATGAGTAAAGCTCTAAAAAAACTTCAAGATCCAAATAAAACTATAGAAATTAGCATAAAGTTAATAAAGAACCATCACATGCTTAAAAAGCTCTTCTCCTGTACATTTTTGGTACATATTAACCCTTCCTTATTTTACCTGATTTCAAAAGCTTTTTTTAAACATTAAAAGCTTGAAGACTATTAAGCTTTTGAAGCTAAAGAAAGCTTATCTATAAGAATACTTTTTGATCAACAAAGTTTTCTAATTTATTCAACCATTTTCGCTCTAACTCTTTCACAGCGCGTCATGATCAAACATCAAGTGATTCTCAACTTTCGCCCAGTGACGAAACAGCAACAACAACATCACAAAAGACACCCGAAAATATGGAAAATATTTATACACAAAACGATGACATGTTAATGACACACATTGATGACATTGGGCCACAATCATTGCCAGCTGTTTTGAATGTGGCTGCAATAGCCGCCAACTCTTTGCAGCAACAGCAACAACAACAAATATCAAATAATAAATTTGAACAATCAGGTGTTTTTATAACTGACGATGACATAACCGTCGATATTGCCACAAATACTGGCTTAAGGAAAACAGGATTTTCAAATAAAATCTTTGGCCTTAACGAAGATGATGATGGTACTGATGTAACCGATGCTAAATTGTCAATATTAGAAACAAATAAAAAAACACAAAAAGTTTCAAAAATCACAACAAAACAAGCTGCAGCAGCAAACAACACAGCATCATCTAACAATAAAAGTAAAATACCATTTTCACCCATGGCCACACCACAAAGAAGACGAAGCATTGACAATAGCACTTGCCGTACCGGAAGTTTACAAGATTTACACTCACGCACTGGTCTTCCAGTGTTTAGTCGTGCTAAGCCGGTTTATAGATCGGTAAGAAAACCACCCACATCTATAGGTGTAACCGCAGAGACTAGAAAGAGCAAATCACCAGCACCCTCAGTAAACTCACAAACGCCAGTAGCTCGTGATGTTACTAATACCTGGAGTGGCAGATCTGTTATGAATGGTGGACGTAAACGTCCTACTTTGTCAAGTGATACCTTTACTCCTCATACAAATGGAGCTGCAGCTTCACCCTTTGAACGTAACTCTAAAACTAGATCTTCGCATATTTTGTATGATAGCAATGGACGCCGCATTAAAGGCTGTACTGCCTCTTTAACTACTTCACCCACTAAAAATCATGCCAATTCCCCCTTGGCCCAACAACTTTTAGAAGCGGCCAGCAGTGCTAAGAATGATGCCCAAATATTAGAGAAAATGAAAACTTTACTTTTGCAATATTCCACAACCAACAATAAGGTACAAACGACACCCCGTTCACAAAATACCAAGAAAACCGATTATGAGGACTTCACTACCGCTTGGGTGCACAGTAATGGTAATTTAGAACGCTCCAGCAGTTGTTCACCACCCACTAAGTCACTGTCAAAACGTAGTTCGGCGGCCAGTTCTTGTGGCAGCACTCATTCACGTGATATGTCTGTGGTGGTGTCACCACGTCGTGAACGTGGCATGTCTAAGATTCCAGCGCCTGTCCAGCGCCAACATACTGAACTTTACTAACAAAGAATGTCACCACAAATCCGCCGCATAGTCGGATGTGAAAGATTACCTAGAAAACCTTAGCATTTAAGAAGACAATTGTCATCATCTTCATCAAATTTGAAATACTAAGAAAAGGATCTATCTAAGTTAAGTTGAAGGGTTATGAAGTTTTGATACTATATAGGAAAACATTAAGGATTTAGGAATAAGATTGGATATACACATTAGTAGGTCAATGATGAAATCAAATAATTAGTTATACCGTGATTTATAGTAAATTTATGAAATAGGAAATAGAAAATTGAGCTGGATTTTGACAGGAATTGAAAATTATAAAAGGGTTTATATTCAGACTATAGAACAATGCATGGTTCAGACTATGGGTCAAGCTAAAGATGGGTCTACGATTATAGACTACGATTCAGACTATAGACAAGTCTATGATTCAAACTATAGCCTAATCTATAATTCAGAATATACGCTTATCTATGGTTCAGAATATAGACTAATCTATAATTCAGAATGTAGACTTACATATGACTAAGACCATAGACCATAGCTTATGATTCAGTCTATAGACTAGACTTTATATAGACTTCATCTTCAAACTATAGCCTAACTATTATTCAGAATATACGCTTATCTATGATTCAGACTATAGACTAACCTATGATTCAGACTATAGACTGCTGTCAGTCTATAAACTAGTCTATGGTTCAAACTATAGACTAGTCTACAGCTCAGATTCTAGGCTAGTCTATAGTTCAGTGTATAGACTTGTCTATGGATTAAACTAGTCTATAATTCAGACTATTGAATAGTCTATGGTTTAGTCTACAGACTAGTCTATGATTCAGACTATTGACTAGTCTATGGTTCAGACTATAGACTAGTCTATGGTTCAGACTATGGATTAACCTATGATTCAGATTATAGACTAGTTTATGCTTTAGACTATAGACTAGTCTATGATTCAGTTTCAGAATATACACTTATCTATGGTTCAGTTTATTGATTAGTCTATGGTTCAGACTATTGACTAGTCTATGGTTCGGACTATTGACTAACCTATGATTCAGATTATAGACTAGTCCATGGTTCAGTTTCAGAATATACGCTTATCTATGGTTCAGACTATCGATTAGTCTATGATTCAGTCTATAGACTAGTTTATGGTTCAGTCTATGATTCAGTCTATAGACTAGTCTATGGTTCAGTCTATTGACTAGTCTATGGTTCAGACTATTGACTAGTCTATGGTTCGGACTATTGACTCACCTATAATTCGGATTATAGACTAGTTTATGATTCAGACTATAGACTAATCTATGGTTCATACTAAGGACTACCCATGGTTCAGACTATAAACTACAAAGCATGTGATTCACCCTATAGACTAGTTTATGGTTCAGACTATTTACTACTTTATGGTTCAGTCAATAGATGTTCGAACTGTAACTAATCTATGGTTCAAACTATTGATTCATCGTTCAGACTATGGACTCAATGGTTCACTGTTCAGATAAAAACTTTCTTTCTATTCAAAAATCTATTTTATGTCAATTAATCTCGAAAATTCCTCCTTAATCCCGCTCGATTTAAAAAAAACTTAACTCGAATAAAGTTGTAGAGAAACGATTGATAAAACCAGATAAAACAAAAACCTAGAGAGACTGCCATAATAATTTTTATAAACAAAATAATAGCAACAAGTATGATAATTAAAAAAAAAAAAAAAAAACATTTTTAAAATTCGCTATTCCCTTTATCCCCTTTTAACCTATAACCCCCAAATATATACACCCAATCTAGCATTTACACCTAAAGAAATTAAATGTTAATATTAAGTAAAAATTAAAAAAAAAGCAAAACCTTCCACTTAGCCACAAAAATCAGGAAAACATTATGAAAAATTAAACTTAAACATAAAAAAAAATTAATTAAAACAATTGCCTATATAAAAAACACCATTTATTCTTAGATTTTAATAAACAAAAAAATTTCATACTTGGATTTTAAACATAATAATAATGATGATAAAATTTATATGAAAGTAAATAGTTTTCTAGAAATTTTTAACAACAAAAAAAGCAGAAAAACAATCCCCTTAATGTTTAAAGGAAGTTTAAGTATCCAGTAGTTTTAATGAAAGAGAAAAAAAGGTATTTTTGCACGAAAATTAACATAAATATAAAACAAAATTAGTTAAGAATTGGTAAAATTCTAAAATTGAAATTAAACCAAGCAGTTTTATTAAATGCCACAGAGAGCCTCACTGTTTTTCCTAGGAATGCAACCCTGTTATAAAAACAGTGTAGTCTTTGTAGAGCTTTTAAATACAGGGTAGTATTTTTTATCTTCTTTAAGTGATTTCTTTTTCTAAGTATATTTCTAAATATAATTTCTTTCTTTTAAATTTTTACAAAATGCTGCCTAGAGAAGATTGTTTTAGATATGAAAAAGAAAAAAAGTTTTAAACAAAGTTTTAGATTGAAAAAGAAAGGCTTTAAAATAACATGTTTTTAAGTGAACAAAATTATTGTTAATTTATCTGTATTTTGGGTTCATTTCAAAAATGCTTAAAACACAAAATTAGTTAGTTTATTTAGAGTTACGAACGATTTTTTTTTTTTATATATATTTTTTCTATATAAAACTAGTTAGGGTTGTGAGTAAGTAAAGGAAGCAAAAGATGATGTATCAAGATGATCCTTTTAGTTACTATGACAAAAAAACAAAACAATTTACATCACTTCTATAGTTAAATAAAATTAAAAATTATAATAAAATTCGCAAGAATTATATAAAGACACTTATTTTTTAAGCACTTGTCTCAAGACATTTCTTTTTTTATACAGTTTTTTTTTTTATTTTTTTAAATTTAGTTTTTAAGTTTCTTTAATTTTAAGGTGATATATACAAATATAAACAAAAATATATAGATTAATAAATAATTTTTAGGTCTGTTCTGGGGTCTGTTACAATTGCCAGGGCAATAGAGTTAAAAATCTCCATGGACTGTCCATGGTTCAGTATAATTCAGTCTACAGTCTGACAAGTGTATGATACAGATTATAGACTAGTCTATGGTTTATACTATAGACTACTCTATGGTTCAGACTATAGACAAGACTATGGTTTTGACTATAGACGCTAGCGGCAAGTCTATGTTTCAGTCTATAGACAAGTCTATAGTTCAGACTAGCGACTATAGACTACTCTATGTTGCAGACTATATACTAGTCTATGGTGCAAACTATAGACTAGTCTATGGTGCAGATTATAGACTAGTCTATGGTGCAGACTATAGACTAGTTTATGGTACATACTACAGACTGGTCTATGGTGCAGACTATAGACTAGTCTATAGTGCAAACTATAGACTAGTCTATGGTTTAGTCTATACACTTATCAATGGTTCAGACTATAGACTTATCTATAATTTATACTATAGACTAATCTATGGTGCAGACTATAGACTAGTCCATAGTGCAGACTATAGACTAGTTTATGGTGCAGACTATAGACTGGTCTAAGGTGCAGACTATAGACTAGTCTATGGTGCAGACTATAGACTAGTCTATGGTGCAGACTATAAACTAGTCTGTGGTGGAGTCTATAGTGGAGACTATAGACTAGTCTATGGTGCAAACTATAGACTAGTATATGGAGCAGACTATATACTAGTCTATGGTGCAAACTATAGACTAGTCTATGGTGCGGACTATAGACTAGTCTATGGTGCGGACTATAGACTAGTCTATTATCCAGACTATAGACTAGACTATGGTGCAGACTATAGACTAGTCTATAGTGCAGACCATAGACTTGTCTATGGTGCGGACTATAGACTAGTCTATGGTGCAGACTATAGGCAAGTCTATGGTGCAGACTATAGACAAGTCTATGGTTCAAATTATAGACTAGTATATAGTTCAGACTATAGACCAATCTGTAATTCAGACTATAGACTACATATTCTATGGTTCACACTATAGACTTATCTATAGTTCATACTATAGACTAGTCTATAGTGCAGACTATAGACTAGTCTATAGTGCAGACTATAGACTTGTCTATGGTGCGGACTATAGACTAGTCTATAGTGCAGACTATAGACTAGACAATGGTGCAAACTATAAACTAGTATATGGTTCAGACAATAGACTAGTATATGGTGCAGACTATAGGCTAGTCCATAGTGCAGACTATAGACTAGTTTATGGTGCAAACTACAGCCTAGTCCATAGTGCAGACTATAGAATTATAGATTATACAGACATACAGACATACAGACAATTATAGACAAGTATATAGTTCAGACTATAGACTAATATGTGATTTAGACTATAGACTAATATATGGTTCAGACTACAGACTAGTCTATAGTTCAGACTATGATTCAGATTATATACTAATCCATGACTCAGAATATAGACAATTGTATAGACTAGTATATGGCTCAGATTATATAACAATCTATGGTTCAAGTGTATGATTCAGATTATAGACAAATCTATGGTTCAGATTATAGAGAAACCTACGATCCAGACTATAAACATATCTATGATTTACACTATAGACAAGTCTATGTTTCAGACTTTAGTTTATGGTTCTGTTGCCTTTTTTATAGACTCCAAAACAGACTTGATAATTTGGTGCTTAATTTAACAATAACTTTTTAATTTTTTTTTTCTAAATAAAATTTTATGATTTGTAATTGATTTATCAAGAAAAAAATCATATATAATAAAAAAAAAACCTTAAAACAAATCTTAACAGAAAAAAAACAACAAATATATACTCAATCTTATACAACTACAACTATAAACCCCATATAACCTCTTTTTTCCACTATATACTCCTCATATACTCAAATTTATATAAAAACGAAAAACAATTTTAAAACCTAAAAGAAAACCTTTGTTTTTAAAGAAAAATTGTATTAAAACTTGTCATAAGATAAAAACAGAAACTTTAAAAAAATAACTTTTTAAAACAAACTAAAGAAAATATAAACAAAAAAACTCTAAATGAGCACAATTAAAAAGAAAAACTAAAATAAATATTCTGAATTTCCCTATAAAAAAAAAGGAAAACTTAAAAATGCAAAACTTAATATTCAACTCTAAAACAAGCTTAAAAACACAAACTTAAAAAATAAAATATAACAAATTAAATTAAAATTTAAACAAAGAAATTCAGAATATTTTTTTAATATAAAAACTTAAAAATAAATTTTTAAAAGAAAAATAAAAAGCTTTTTAACACATTACATAAGCCAAATATAAATTGAAAAATCAATATAAATAAATAAAAAAAAATCTTATAAATTCTAATTTTTAAAGCAATTTAATTCAAAATAATAAATTAATAAAATTCTTTAAAGAAAAAAGTATAACTTTTTATTTTCAAAATAATAAAACAAATACCACACAAATCTTATTAATTATTGTATAAAATAAAAACACTGATAAATATATCAACAATTTAATTGTTATTGATAACAAAAGAAATCAACAAAAAAACTTTGTTTTTAGTTTTTAAGTTTCTTTTTTTATAAATATTTTTTTATTTTTTATTAAGTAATAAAACACTATTGTAAAATATGTTTTTTTATATAAATATAATTATTATTTTGCATTGTTATTAAGTAAATTAAATATTAATTAAACAATTTATGTTTGCAAAGAATGTATTAAAAATACATAAAAAAGATTAAATTATCATTAATTATCTACTGCTAATGACAAAAACAAGTAAAGAACGTTTAAGCAAAATGAAACGACTACTAAGCAAAAACAATTATTGTAATTATTGCAGTTTATTATTCGTCTAAAATGGATTAAAATTATTAAAAAAGAAAAATGAAATAAAACTATTGTGCGACACAATTTCAACAAAAAAAATCAAAAAATAATAAAAAGAAAATAAAAAAAAATTAATAAAAATAAAAAGAAAATTGTGTGTTTATATTTAGAAAAGGAAAGATTTAATATCCGAATAGGGGGTTCTAATGAAAGAGGTAATTCAAAATAATAGATAATAATGTAATCGAAACAATTAATTAGTATAAAGTCTGCACCAGAGTTCGGGAATCTAAACAAAATACTATATACCAAAATCAGAAGACAGATGAATCCATAATCTGTCAACTAGTCAACTAGATTATAATCTGAACAATGTCCAAGTATAGACTGGTCTATAGACTGTGTAGTTTGGTCTATAATCTGAACTATGAACTGTTCTATAGTCTGAACTATAGCCTAGTTTATATTCTGAACTGTAGACTGGTCTATAGTCTGAACTATAGACTGATCTATAGTCTGAATTATATACTAGTGTATAGTCTACACTTTGGAGTGGTCTATAGTCTGAACTATAGACTGGTCTATAGTCTGAACTATAGACTGGTCTATAGTCTGAACTATAGACTGGTCTATAGTCTGAACTATAGACTAGTCTATAGTCTGAACTATAGACTAGTCTATAGTCTGAACTATAGACAGGTCTATAGTCTGTACTATAGACTGATCTATAGTCTGAACTATAGACTGATCTATAGTCTGAACTATAGACTGGTCTATAGTCTGAACTATAGACAGGTCTATAGTCTGAACTATAGACTGATCTATAGTCTGAACTATAAACTGGTCTACAGTCTGAACTATAGACTAGTCTATAGTCTGAACTATAGACTCGTCTATAGTCTGAACTATAGACTGGTCTATAATCTAAACTATAGACTGGT